AAATTTTTTTTTTTGGAAAAGGTAATAATCGATGCAATCAATGTCCTGTGGTGACTGCTCTGCGGAACAAGTTTCTCTCCTCTTACACATGGCCAACAGCTTGGAAAGAAGCTGACATCAACCCCCTTCCAAAGGTAGACACGCCTGTTCAATATTCGAATTTTCGGGGAATTAACATGACTCCAGTCATAGGAAGCTGTTTTGAAAGAACTGTATACCATCACTACAGTAAGAAAGTCTTTGAGGGAAATCTGACGGTCACCCAATATGCGTATAGGGAGGGCTGCAGTTTTACGGACGCCTTGAATTAAGTACAGTATAATTACTTAAACGCACTTGATGATAAGGATTGTAACTGTGTTAGGCTTTTTGCCATGGATTTTTCGAAAGCCTTTGATAATGTGAAACACTCATTAGTTAGTGAAAAGCCAAAGGCTCTTCATCTTAATCCAAATGTTGTTAACTGGTATCTAAGCTTTCTAATGGATAGGAAACAAAGACTAATATTTAAGGGTGTTACCTATAAATGGCACTGACTGTGAACAAATGAACAACACAGGGTGGTGTAAATGGGCCCCATCTTTTTAATTTCTTTTATTAACGATTTGGCCATTAGGGATAATGACCTAGTTACCAGCATAGTTAAATATGCGGACGACACCACCTTGCTAGTCGAAGTATGTAAGAATGAAATAGATCTCTCTCAAGAGGTTGTCAATCAATTTTTCAGTTGGACTCAAGATAATGTCATGGCATGTAATCCCAAAAACTGCAATGAACTGATACTTTGCAGGAAGGTTGCTTATGATACAGACCCTGTGAACAATATAACGCAAGTTTCTTGTTTAAAAGTGCTCGAGGTTACCTTACAAAGTAATCACAGATTTAATGAGCATATTAAGGTTAATCTGCAGCAGGCCAATAAGTGTCTTTATGTGATAAGATGTTTAAGTAAAGCGGGATACCAACAACCAGATGTAGATTACGTTTTTAGATCAATTGTTTTACCGAAACTAACGTAGGTCTTCCTATATACGCCTCCTCAATACCTGAATTAACAACGGTCCAGAATTTTCTACAGTGCCGCTTTAAACGCAAATATATTTCGTACTAAATTGACATATACGACGTATTAGAAGAGGTAGATCGCTCACTATTCAAGATCTCCAGCATGCCCGGCCACCCTCTGTCCTCTGTACCCTTCCGTCCTCAAAATGAAAGAAAATTCAGCGCGCCTCTGAGTTAGCGTTTTAAAAATAGTTTTTAATAGGATATTTTATATAGAGTAGCTATTTAATGTAATATGGATCTTGAATGTTAAATTCAATGCTTCTACGTGGAATTTTTTAAGCCTTGTAATTCTTTCCGCTGTTTTCAATGTACTGTCGTAGTTTTTACCCTGTATTTTTGGTTAAAAAAACAATAAAGACCTTTTATTTATTTAGGCTATCACCCCCCGCCCCGCCCCTTTCCTTTTGTTTTTTTTTGTTTAGCGTCAAATGCGTTTCCTGATATTGGGTCGGTTGGTAGGATTGAAAAAAAAACCTAAAAAAAAATTTGAAGGAGTCTCGGAATAGGCGGCCTTGGTATCCCAAGATGACGTTGAAAGTTAACATTCACATATTTGGATTAACAAAATGAACAATATACTGTAAAAACCGGTCCTGTTTTTGTTCCTGTTTTTCTCTATGCTGTTACGTAACCATGCTCATTTTTCAGATTAAGGTGTTTCGATACAGTTTTTCAGAGGCCATACCGATATTTTTCCATCTACTTAAAAGTGGTTTTTCCTTGTCCGATCCGCTTTAAAATTTTCAACAGTAATTGGCTATGGATTGAAATTTGTGAAAACGTAGTTTTAAGGCAAAATCGATATTAATATGACAACAATAAACAAAAAACTTTGAAATTAATAAAAGCCGAATTTTGTGTGATCTAGAACATCCAATACTAGGGACTTAAAGTTTGGTGTTAAGCAAACAATCTCCATAAGAAGTTAAAAATTCTGTATGTTTGAATTCGACTAAAACGAAAAGATATTTCAAACCTTAAATTTTCAATAGCTCTGATAGATTATTTAATAAAAAGTTATAAATGACTCAAATTATTCGTAAGTAGCGTCAGAATGCTGCTTAATATCATATTTCGATGCTAGGAAATTTTGATGTATTTTCGTTCCTGCGATCTTGCAAACTAACCCGTTTTCTCACCACCTGTCTAAGTGGAGCTTCATTAAAAATTTGGACTTTTGGCGCTTTTTTGTATATCTCTGAAATGACTCGAACGAATTTTTTTAAAATCTCTTCACATAATCTTCATAATGTATATAATAACGTCTGAAACTTTCATTAAGATTGATTCACTAAAACACCTTGAAATTTCTAGACAAACCTATCCTACTTACCGGTCAAAAATGATCTGCGTTACAGCATTCACTGTTTTGACGTTATGCTAATTTTTCCAAAATAATGCGCACTATACATACCTCCGTAACTAGTTCATTTTAGTTTGCATTTATCGCATCTTTTGAATATTGACATTACTCACACTGAAATGTGCTAGTCATGGATATATGTATTGTCCGCATTAATTTGGAAAAATTACCACAACGTGAAAACAGTAAATGTTGTAGCGGGGATTTTTGACCGCTTCGAAGAACAGGTTTGTCTTGAAAATTCAAGGTGTTGCAGTGAATCAATCTTAATGAAAGTTTCAGACATTATTACATACATTATGAGGATTATCTGAAGGGATTTCGGAGATATACCAAAAAGCGCTAAAAGTCCAATTTTGAATGAAGTTGCACTTAGACAGGTGGTGAGAAAACGGGTTAGTTTTTAAGACCGCAAGAACGAAAATACACCAAAATTTCCTAGCACCAAGCAGCATTCTGACGCTACTTAAGAATAAGTTGTAATGAAGTCATTTATAACGTTTTTATTAAATAATCTATCACGGCTATTGAAAATTTACAGTTTGAAACATATTTTCGTTTTAGTGGAATTCAAAAATACAGATAGATAGATGTCGGAAAAAATGTGCACGCATCAATCCCGAAAGGTAAATGGGGTATAATCAATACACTGTTCCTGACGACTGTAGCTGTCGAACCTACTTTTGTTGCTTTCCTTTAGCACTCGCAAACACATTTCCATGGCCTTTCGTGCCAATTCTTTCAAATTTCTTTGAAAAACAGAGAACTCAAAACCACCCACAATACCTTTCGAGATTGTCGCGTGCACTTTTTCCGACAACCTTTCTCGAAATAGCTGTATAAGTAATGTATAGAGGTCCTATGCGGCTCCTTCGAGCACTTCAGTTGCTAGCTGACAGCACTATTTTAAATCACTACAACGTGCACATTCCATTTCAAATATTTGGATATTTAAAGAACTAACAACAACCTTGTGATCACTGATAGCCTCTAAAGCATCCTCTGAATTGGAGAATATTGTTTTCAGTTTCTTGCACTTCCTTTCATTTAACTGAAAAGCCTCACCGTTAGTTTTTCCCACAAACTCATCAACGCGCAAATGAATAGAGCTAGTGGTTCTGTTCTTACCCTTAGCACTCAGCAAGGGTAGTATCGTTTACATACTTGCAGATATTAATGTTAGTCGCACCCAGATTATTAGTCATTAGTAAAATCCAACTAGTGGTCTATGATCAATGCTGTGTTCTGATTGGTTGAGCTACTACTAGGTTATATGTTATTGCCTACTAGTAGCGAAAAGCGCGCGCTTTTTGGTGGCAAAAAAGGATTAAAGTCTAGCAAAAATTTTTTTATTCTCGATATTTTTTACCAGCTAGTTGGATTTTACTAAAACAATTATTCCTCTCGCCCTCATGGCCTCTGAGTCAACAGCCCAAGAGGCCGAAGGCCGAATGGGCTATTGACTCAGAGCCGATTCGGGGTCGAGGAATAATTGTTATTTATAAGAAATATCCAGGGACTGGATTTTGTCCCCTCGCGGATCCTGGTGCACAATCGGCAAGACTCCACTTTATCCTCTGCCTTGGATTGCTAGGAGATTCAAGATGCAACGCTTCATCCAATCCGGAATGTCATACGAGGAGAGATTTAGAACTAGATTAGGACAGCAGCTAAGCAAAATTCAACGGCATGACCTTGTAGTAGCCCCATTTCCTTCAGTCCGAGTACGAGTCCGAGATTTACGTGTTCTAAAAAAACAGACACCGCGGAAAGCTTCATTTTACTTTTTTTAAACCAAAAAACTTAGTACGGCTATTTATAAAGAAGGAGGTTAAGCACTCTCCCGAAAGCAAAATGATACAACTTCTTACATTTGATAACTTGTTCCCGCCACCACGACATTCTCACGAAAACACGTCAGTGCAGAATGACGATGGCTATTACGTTTTCCTGGCTCACGCTCTTGCACTACGTAATAACTGAGAAAATTTCGTACTCGTAGTGGTCTCTCGTCCTCGAATCTAAAGTTCTCTATTGGCCCGGAATGGTGACGAAAGTTGCTGAATACTGTCAGAAGCGCGAGTGGTGTTCTCTGGCCAAAGCAGGAAGGACGATTTATCCGACCATGGGCTTTTTGAAGGCTGGACCATTAAAGATCAATGGTGTTGCTTGCATCAGTCACCTCTTGCAAGTTAAGACTGGAGAGCGATGATGTGGTGATTATATCTCCCTTTAAGGTTATTACGACATTTGTTAGCTGGGAAGCATCATTACTTTAAACTTTGTTTTGTTTTGTGGCGCGAGAGTAGTACAACCGGTCTGACTGGCTTACTGTAGACCTTACGCATTTATCAGGCCTTGTCAAGGACCTGAAAAATTCTGGCTGCTTAAACGCCAATAACAGGAGCCAAGGGATGGATCTCGCTTTGAAGGAGATGAAGGTATGCATTGTTCCTTTTTTATGTGGCCCTTTGACGATAGCTTAAAATATCAGCTGTTTTCTTCTGCGGCCAAAAAATATTCGCGGCAAAAGAGAGGCTCTCTTCACTATACATTCAAAAGATTTCTCAACAATTTAATTCCATTGAAAACCTTCTACAATAAATCAGAAATATGTTAGACCAGAAACGTGTAACTTCCTCATAATTATCATAAACTCGGCTCAAATGAGAAAGACCAAACTAATCTCTCACTAAAAAATGCAAGCTTTATAGCTACAGTTGTGTGAATGTTGAATAGCGCTATCCACCTTTTGAACAAGTAGGGCATGATAATCGCAAAGGTGTGTTTTTCGTCATCCACGTTTTCTCAGATTTGTGAACATCTTTTCCACTAAACACACGCAGAGCGTTTCCATAAGCACAACACCTAAACTACTGCGCTTGTCATTCTGTCATGGCAGTAAGCCGGCAAAAACGAAAATGACTGCGCTATGGATGCTACTTAAATGAAGCAAGAACCCAGAACCCAGAACCCAGGCGGATCGCGTCAATCGCACGGGACGTCTCAAAAATGTGTTCAAACGGTCGGGACAATCCCATAGAAACACCTCTGATACGCATGCGCGACGAATTTCACGACGAGAGGGCGATCACAATCCCCTTAACGGAACTGAAGTCACAACCAGGTTTGAAAGCACAGGTTAAAACAACTTCACGACACTTGTCACACGTTTGCACGGATATTTGTTTACTGTTCTGTCTTAAATTAACTTTCTTGCACCCAAAACGATCAGTTTATAACAACATTACTGCTTGTCTCCTGTTACGATTTTGTTGATCTTGTTAGCTGTCGGTTTGCCAGGACTGATTTTTGATCTCAACCGTTCAGCGCGCTTTCGAGTTCACCCCCTTGATCTAGTTCCTGAATACAAAAAAAATGAAACATACGTCGTTAGACCGAAGCATAGAGGTAAGCCATTTTCGTGTATACAAATTTCTCAAATTGGAGTAAGTTAAAACTGAATGATTAAAAGACAAACGGAAAATCTAATGAATTCTAATCACTGAGAATCTGAAGCCAATACAGACGTGTCAAAAAAGGAAAATGCAACTGCAGAGCTGACATTATATTTTCTAGATAATCAATACTCTCCGTAAATTCAAGGTACGCATAAAGGTGCTTGAGACCTGTTCCATCATACAAACTAAAATCTGAAAGGGTTTTTCAACTAAGATATTCCCTTTAAAAAATAAATAAACAAACAAAACAACAACAAACAAACAAAAAAGCGTTGAGGCTGATGAACTGTAGACTAGATCTTCTTGTATTTCAAATGAAAGGAAAGCATATTACCGTGATGATATCCAAGCCTCCGATAAGTTCTCCATTCACGTACACTTGTGGATATGTAGGCCAGTTGGAGAAAGTCTTCAGGCCTTGACGCACCTGATGCCGGGTGATAATAGACAGATTTAGGGTCACCTTTACGGCAAATGGCAAACGTGAATTTGTACCAGGTGACCACGTTTTGCCTACATATCGACTTTTACTGTTCAATATAACTACTCGTAAATCAGTAGATTCACGCCAGTTTTATCCATGAGAATTATTTCGAGCTGCTCATGTTTTTATCCCCTCCTTTTCTTCTTTGAGAATTTCTGAACGTGAATCTGACGTTTGCTGTTTACCGTACGCGGGACTCTAAATCTCTCTAACTACATGGTACATGTATCAAGGGAAGACTAGCGTAAGTTGTAAGAGACACGAGCACAGTGGTAGTTATTAAGGGATAGTATTATCTCAGATACAAAATAATTTTTTAAAAAGCAGGGTTTATTCTAGAGCGCGGCCTTGCGGGATTTCCGCAATTTGAAAGAAAAAAATGCCCCATAAAATTGACCTTGCCGCGTCAAATGGTGCGCGCCAAAAAAAAATAGACCCAAGGATAAGAACTATTTTTTTGTAAAATAAAGTATTCGAAAACATCACTGACAACAACACTGATTTGACGGCCGCTCTATAAGCTTACTTTGAACTTTTATGGCCTCTTACTGTCTCAATTGCCTTTCTCTTGTTCGTTGGAGTCATTACTTCACCAGACAAACATCCGGGATTCTGCAGTAATTCGAGCCCACGCTTTTACAGTTGCCCAGAATGTTCCGAAATGGCGGCAAAGCGTCAATAAACTGAATACCAATATAAAGTTCAAAGTACCTTTTGGGGAACCCCCTTTCTTGGACCCCTTTTCTTGAAAGAGGGCCCCCTGAAATTGCAGAAGGGGGCCCATTTGACCCTCATTGGCCAATTTCTAGAATAAACCCTGAAAAGTAAAGCTGTAAGGCATTGACTTTGGAAATCTAAAATAGAAGAAAGGATATTTTAGTAATGACACCCCATTACCACAATAATTAAGAATATTGTTCAGTGTCGCTGCCTCTACCCAGCCACCAGTATTTTTCACTCAATTTTTAAACAATAGCCAGCTCATATGATTCTGATCTTGAAAAATTAAAATGCCTACCTCTTGGTCTTCCAAAATATCAAAAGACTTGAATTGGACACTAAAAAAAAAACCATGGTTAAGAAAAAGAACCAACACATGTGCTCCTGTGAATCACGCGAGAAGAGCTGAAAGAGTTTTACATACGATGTGATCACTTGTGTATAATTTACGCCCCGTTAACACCAAAGGGGAAGCTGTTTCACAAACACGATTTAAAATTGCTTTCTTCATACAAGCTGATTAGTGATTTTTGTCACTTTAAATTAAGCAAAAATGAAAGCACAACTATAAGTTTACTTGCACCGCCTGTGAAAGCCAGTCTTCAAGTTTTGTGAATAGGATTTAAGGTGTATTGTAAGGTAACTTTACCATGCTGCACACCGGGAAGTTATCTGTTTCCTGTACAACTGACCTGGGGTATTTTTTCAAGATCTCACACATCTTTTTGCTGAAACCACACCGTGGAGCCTAAACAAAAGATTCATTTCTATTAATATAGGCAGAGAAACTGAATTCTAATCTGACAAAATGCTTCTGGCATTGCAGAAAAACGAGACATTAACATAAACACATGTATACAGGGTTCATACAGATTTTTGGAACCAAAATTCAAGACTTTTTTCCATATTTTTTTCCAAACAATAATTTCTTTTTCCAAACTGAAGGTTATCAAACAGGTGATAAACAGAACAAAGTTTTTTTTATAATGAACAGCAAACGTAAGGGTGAGATTAAATAAGATTTGATGAAAACGAAAATTTTGAAAAAAAAAACCAAGACTATTCACCATTTTTCCAGACTTTTTTCGAGGTCTGGAAAATTGTTAGGAAAATTTCAATGAATTCAAGACTCTGTACGAACCCTAAGTATAAATCACAAATACAAGTCAGTTAATAGCTGGAAAAGATACGACATGATATCTTTTTGCATCTAGGTATTCAATTTATTTTAACAACAAATAATCAAATAAGATACATCTGATACCTCTGCATTTCCTTTCATAAACACCATCACTGGAGCAGATGAAATCAATGACTGCAACCTGAAATATAATGGTTAGCAATAAGGTTTGAAAAACTGTGGCACCATTATAACAGGCCATTTGCATGATGGTGTGAGATGTACTGGGTACTAGCATCCAGCATCATACTAGAATCGTAAGTTAAGCAGTGAAGATGGAGTAAAGAAAGCATGTTGACTTTATGTCCAACTGTGTGATTGACTTAGCGTCTACTGGTGTCCTAAAACGCTACATGGTGTCAATTTACTACAACAATCAGAATCCTGTTCATTTTTCCTTTCACATTTAAATTTGGTAATCTCAGAAAAGTTTAAATACATCAAAAGCCCTACAACCTGTAATTTGCACAAGAAAGCAAAACCTGAAGGATTCTAGTTACAGTAGTAAAATAACATCATTGTGCAAATGGCCTATTCACAAAAGAAAAAACTGTTGTCTCACATTATGACTGATGATTAATTAGAATTTCATGGCATAACTAGTTGAATTTTAAACAAGTTGTCTCATTTTTCACTTCCTAAATGAATTACTGTAGTTGTTACCTTTTGTTAAGATCATTTTCTGATGGAAGTGTCGAGGCAAGTTCCCCACTTGCTGCCAGTTCCTGGGACAAGGAAGATATTATACAAATATATTATTGTACTAAGCAGCTGTAGTATTTGTGTACTTGTATCCTACACATACTGCATCTATACAAGATTGCTGTCTCTTAAGTTAAAGAAACAATTGGAAATGGAAGAGGAAATGGTGCCAGTTTTTCATCTCTTGCAGCCAGTGGCTGAATTGTGAAAGAACCAGAGAGGTGAGATTGGACATCACTGTGTGGCAGCCACATCAGTTAACTGCAGGCACAATATGATGAACAGAAAGCAGTATACTGGGAGTGAACAAGGAAGACAAAGTCATCATAATGACGTCATGAGTATGGAACAGACAAAACAATCCGGAGTCCATAATGGGATTTAAATCCATCATCTCCTAAACTCTGGGTTGGCAGTCTATCCACTAAGCATTAGAGGTACTCTTGGAGAGCAAGGCCATATCAAACAAAATGTACGAGAACAGTGTCCTGCGTACTATAAGGGACAGCAATGATGACTGTGTATTGAGAAATGACAAATTACAGAAGATGGAAGTTTTCTAGTGAATGAGAAATTACAGAAAAAAAGGGTGTCCTTGGATAGATAATTTAGTTATGGTGTTGTTTACATAGCTAAACACACAGTTAAAATTATAAAATATTAATGTGATCAAAGAGTTGTTGTCAATTGAAATGAACACAAGACACAATTTCTATGATAAAAACTTTACCTTCACGATATCCAGACCTCCCATTAATTCCCCATTAACATACAGCTGTGGATATGTTGGCCAGTTGGAGTAAACCTTTAAACCTAAAGAACATTTTAAGAATAAATTTGTTTGAGGTTAGCTGACTCTTTAAACCTTAAATTTTAATGTCAGTTATCAAATATGTGCCACTCTCAAATCAAACCAATGAAACAGTTTTAGAACAAGTCTTGCCAGGCTGTCCAAAAAATTGCTTTTTTGGGTCAGTGTTGGTATGTGCCTAGTATTAGATAATAGACCTTCTTATCTTGTATGTTTTTCCCATGTAGGTCAAGTATAGTACTCTACAGAACCATTAATTTTCTTTCAAATTTTGTCCTATTCAAGTGCTTAATAATGTATGTATAAGTTTATGAAAAGACAAAGGGGCAAAAGCTAAAGAAGTCTATTACAATCACTAATCATTCATCAAATACATACCTTGTCTAACTTCATTATCTGTAAAAATGTCAAAATGACTGTATTTTGTTCCATGAGCATTTAATATTTCCACCATCTGTCTGCTGAATCCTGTATTAAATGTAAACAAATGTGATGTTACAGGTCAAAATTAAATTAAGGTTAAAATTTTTCAACCCAAGTTGATTCTAAATTTCCTTAGTCTCCTAGCCCTAATTATTTCATGAATTAGAACTAGGAGACAGAGGAAATTTACCGTTAATTTTGACCTGTAAATATATACACATCAGCTTGAACTTCAAAAGTATTCCTAAATTTCATAAGGCTATTCCCATTATGGGGATGTTGCAAATAGACGAGAGCAAGAAAAAATAGTGAGGGGGGTAGGGTAGGGAAAAAAAAGGAAGATATGGTTCAAAGAGAATACCATGACTCCCTCCTTTCTCCCTCTCCAACTACTCAGCATTTTTTTTCTTTCTATCTGCTCTCCATTTTGTACCATTCTACACTATTTCAACACCTGGAACAGGCTAAAACTTCAGAGAAAAACAAAGTGTTATTCTGTTTTAGCAGTTGCTCAGAGTATTATTTTACTAAAAACAAAAATAACAATGAAGCTGAGGAAGTATATCTGTATTCATGAGTATACAACTACTATGAAGGTTTGATACAAAAATTAAAAGAAAGATGGCCAAGAGCAATGATATATAACAGGTAAAGCACCAAAAATAAATTATAATGACACAAACCACAGCGAGGTTCCTGAGGGGATCCCTTCATAAACAACACACAAGGAGCTCCATTTATGATGTTTTTTAATCTGGTATTTATGTCCTGTGGAAGGAAACAAAATTACCACAATAATAATTACAAATTAATGGTATAATTCACTTGATCAAAAAACTTTATACTAAGGCTGTGCTCCGAAAAGAAGGAAGCATTAAGTTTAGAGCCTTAGAAATCTTGAGTGCCCATGCAGCTTCTGTTGCTGTCTACTACACAATAGAAATAAACTAAAAAGCCTGTGGCAGGCTCTTAGTCAGTGCAGACTAATTAGCCAAAAAGGTGGGTAAGCAGCGAAAAATTAAGTGAGTAGAAACAGTGAAGAAGAGAGAGGGGGGAGCCTGAATACCTAAGGTAGCTTACTACCTTGCCCACTCCCAGAAAAGCTGTACCTCGTGTCAAAATGTGAAAATGTTCAGTGTAGGAGAGTTTCACTAGCTTGCCATGTTTGTTTGTGTGTGCGAAGCCAAGTTTCGCATAAGTGTTGACGTAAACTGTCAAGGTTGACTAATCATAGGGTATACCAGTGGCTGGTATACCGGAATGAGGTATTGAAAATGATGCTTATAGTCTCCACTTCCTCCTCTGTCCCCAGGCCCTAGACAGTTTTTGCCCAACTTTTCTCCATCTGTTAAGTTCCTTACTATCTTGGGGCCTTGTACAGGCTATAAACCAAACACTAAAACAGATGTACCTTCTTAGTTTCCTGTTGATTTGCTGATGTAACAGCTGGTGTGATGACATTTGCATGATGTTGTACTTTCTTGGTCAAGCTGGGGGCATTTGCTCCATCCAACCGATCAACAACTTTCTGGTTCTAAAAAAAAGCAACAATGTTCAACTTTTGATACATCAATGTATTAACAAGCATTTTAGGCATCTTGTTTTAAATTCTCATGATTTGTGCCATTTTAAAAATATTTTTTTGAGGACTAAGGCAAAATTTTTCCAGGGCTGAAAAATCTACATCTTCCAATCAGTTGTTGGAATTTTTCATCCAAAACTCGATGCTCAATACTAGAAAAATGTTTCAAATCCTTGAAATTTTCAGGCCCTGGTTGTTTAAATGTTGGACAGCACTATCCACCGGATAAATCAGTATCCAGCAGATAAGTACTAGGGAAAGCGATTAAGCTATCCGCTGGGTAGTGATAAATATCCGGTGGATAGCGCTATCCAACTTTTAAACAACTGGAGCCAGGTGTTTCTTGGTGAGCATTGTGGATACTATTGTTGGTCCACTTTTGTTTTGTGGAGTGGGTATTTTTCAGCATCTTTTCAATATTTTGTATCATGTCATTTGGTGATCAAACCCATCCACAACACCAAGAAACTACCAAAATGTACAAAAAGCAGCTCCAGGACTTTTCATGATTTTCCAGGGTCTGCGCTTACCCTGTCACTAGAAAAGAGAACACCTTTCACAAATAAAACATACGAAAACTATGAGTAAATTAAAACTTTTCAAAATGGCTATGATTGTGCATGAATGCCATTTTCAATAACACTTTACCTGGAAGATTGCTAAGATAAAATGGATTAATTCTTGAAGAATTGTCATACTGCTACTAGTGCTAATAATTCTTCCCTTGAAGTTTTTAAAATTACAGGTGAAACTGGTGCTAATTGAATTGAGCTTTATTTAAAATTCAATAATTGGTCTGATCCTTCTGGCAATCTTTTTGATGAAGAAATACAAGTACTAGAAAGCTATTTGTGAATTTCCCTCAAAAAGGAATTCCTATGGTCTGCCATAAAAAGACAGAAGTTACTTACCTTAAAAAAAAGAAATGTGGGAACAGCACTGATTTCATATTTATGTGACACTTCTGGTAAATTTTCTGCCTCGAGCTAGAACATTAAGAAAATTTGACAAAAGCAGTCAGCTTTGTTGTTTATAATAATTAATGCCGTGTATAATTATATTAATATTAATATAATTTATTAATTTTAATAGAAAACCATTTAAAATAGGTTTCTCTGTTTCTAATAGTAATTAGCCCCTTCACTTCAAATAGCTGCCAGACTGACTGAGATGTTTAAAAAATTCACAAACATTACAAAAATCTTCTGGTACAAAAATCCTCAGACATAAATCAATGGTATTACATACAAGTTCTACGGAAGATGTTTCACATTTTGAATGATGATTAATACAGGATTTCATTCACAGATTAAGAAGTTAGGTAGACAAATTATCTTGCCATAACTTGTTCTAAGAGTCAAAGGGTTATATATAATTAGGGTTACATTTACCTTATAAAATTTAACATGTGTGTTGTCTTTAGCTAGTTCAGTCATTACATCATTCATCTGTGTACACTGAGCAGCCCATGATGCATGAAAATGAATCACTGTTAGGAAACTGTGAAAAAAAAAAAACTCTTTAAGGACTTTGAGACAACACTGTCAGTACTCGGTAGATAACTATGTGCAGACTGACCCTTACCCTGAACACTGATGTAATTAAACATGTCCAAATTAGGGCAAACATAGACCTTTAACCCAATAATCACATACAAATTCTCTAGACTGATTGCCATACATTTTCTCATTGAACTGGTTGAAAGAATTTGTTCAAAGATAAAAGCATTTGCCATTAAAGCATTATTGTCATAACCTTTTCTGTTGATTGTAGGAAATTGATGTTGGTCAGCCTTTGGACTTAAAGCGTTTTAATATACACATGGTTCTTGAGATTAAGAATTTGGGGTAGCGGTTTCATTTAAGCTGACAAATAAGTCCAAAGATTTCAGCAAACATGTAGTGCTTGCTGTTTTCATTTGTATACATCAGATGATTATTAGGAAGTGTCTTTTGTTGCAATTGTCACCTTTTTTTTTTTTTTTTGGCATGCTATGTACATCATAGAGAGTGTAATAGGAGGCCACTTAATGAAGGTTATTTCCCAATTTTCTAAGTTACTTTAATAGTACCCTAGCTATACAGGTCCATTCTCTAAATACCTAGGATGATTTGACAAAACTCTCCTGTGACATTTTTTTTTATCCTTTCTTGGCGCTTCACACCTTGCTTTCGTGGCTCAATGCAAACCATTGGTATTAGCTAATTATAAAGAAAAAACTTCAGGTACCCAGGATTAGGTTGGTTTTTTACTCACTTGGCTTGAATTTAGTACCCTCTATGAGTTAATACCACTGTACACACTTGTACAGGAACACTCACAGGCAGTAACAGCCAGTTACCAGATTCCTGGACAAAAATATTGTGAGTAAATACGGTAACCAGAACCCCTATAAAAACCCTTTCTTTAGAAAAATGTACCAGTCAATGACTATATAATATTAGGAGTGGTCAGTTCTGTGATGATCAATTATTGATAGACTTAAAATAACCATTCCCAGCCTTGTACAGTAATTTATGTTTGTGAATTAAAAACCAACAAAGTTCCACAATAAAAAACGTAGATCACTCGCACTTCAAAAAATAGACCTATAAAGACAGTTCTTTGGCATGATATGCAAACCCCCTAGCTTCGTATACATGTACAGCTCTGGGTGTACTTCTCGATCATAGAGCTGAGTAAATTCACAGAAAAATGGCTATAAATTCTCCGTGTTGTCCCGCTTTACTAATGTATGTATGCCCTGTCTCCCACGTTCTTTAAGAATACATTTCTTTTGTAAACCTTTGTTTAATTGCTTAGATCACTGCAACAATCTTAATTGGTTTTGTCTTAACATATTTGTATTAATTTTATTTATTTTATTAAACAATTTAAGTGATCACAACAATTCTCCACTGATCCAGTCTGTAAGTTGAATAAAAACGCGAACTCTCCTGCTAAATTTCTTTTTGAGACAACGTCATCTTGGGCAGTTCGCTTAAGAGCTGAAAAGAAAAACTCCTTAGTATGAACTATGTTCCTCAATCCTCTCTTCAGCTGGGTACGTTTCAAGACCTTTTTCCTTGTCGCTCAATGAACTCATTGTAAGACTGTACTATCTTGACCGGCTTGGTTTTTAAATTAATACTTTCTACATGGATGTACAAAAAGATTGACGGTAACTCACCTGGAATAATCAGCCAAAATTTTATCGAATTCCGCGTTATTTTTCACCTCCTGTAGCTCCATGATGTCTTGGATGAAATGAGTAATCTTCTGAGCTTACACAATTTTCAACCAGCATTAACACCCATAAACCCATGCGCATCACTGCACTGAATGACAGAGAAGAACTGGGTACAACGACAACACGGTATCTCCTTGTATCGCGTGATAATGAACGAGCCAAAGCACGCGATGTCACCAGATCGAACTGGCAATGAACGCAGGACATTCATAAAAAAAAAAAATTTCTTAGAACTCTTTATAACCCAAAGAAGCCTATAAATTAATTAGGGAAACAATTCTTCCTTCCGCCCCTTCTCCTAGTTCCTAGGCCAGGAGCCCATGGGCTCCTGCCTAGGCTGAATGACGTCCCTCTCGGGAGCTTGCAACTCGAGGAGACGACTGAAATTCAGGCTCGGCCTTTCCCTGAAAATCAGAGAAAGGAGGGAAAAAATGAAAAACGCGTTAACCCTGACTCATCATAAGTTAAATGGCCAAACAACTTTTCAAAACGCCCTCCTCCCCAAAAGGGTGTAGTGATCGGGCATCTGTTTTGCAGGACCTTGAGAGTGATTTTAATTCCCACAGGAATGCGGAAGCTGTCGGCGCTTTTAATACTTTCCTCTTAACTCTAACTGAACAATATAGCAAGATTGTTTACCCAAAATGTCGTAAGGCTAACCTTTTAGCGGTTGTGCCCTTGTTAAGTTTGGTATGTCTGATTTGCAGATAACTTTTTCGGACACTTCATTCTTGTACTTCTTTTTTGTCTTATGGGGTAACGGTCTGGCTAGACTTGCCACAAGTCGACCACACGAGTTTCACTTTAAGTAGGACGAAGGAGTTTTTCAAAAGTCCAGGATCTGGTGGGATAGTTTTTCTCTTTCTCATGTTAATAGGGATGGGGGAGGGGGTGTGGTTTTGGGAGATTTAACATCGTAGGAGACGCCGTGTCCTACTGTTTTTCGGTGTATATAAACTTGTTATGTATACTTAATCTGCAGACAAATAAATAAATAAGTCACACAGCACTCGGATTAGTGTTATGAACTGCCTATTATTTTGTATTCTCTTTTATATTTGATAAATAATTCACTCTTGAAATTCACATCTTGTATCTTTTAGTGACATCCATAACTATTTTACAATCATGTTCATCTGTTCTATGCTAAGTTGGAGTTGTACTGCCAGTACAAAATTGTTTGTAGCTTGGAAGCGGCAATATTACATAACAGCAAGCACACAATTAAAACGTCCCTTCAAGATTGAAAGGTCTCGAAAATTACTGAAAATATGAAGCGGTTCGCACCCTATTTTTTCTATTCTGTACGCAAGACAGCGCGAAGACACTGAATACAACCTTAATCAAGATTATAGTCTAAAGAGGCCGCGTTCCATATTTCGTTAGCGCCAAGAAAGCGCACGTTCTATTTTTCAAAGGCTCGGTCTTCAACCGTGGATGAATCGATGCACACGCAGCGATATTAAATGTGTAACATTTTAAACCTGATTCCCCTTGGTTTAGGCCCGCAGATTTTCCCTCGGCCGAGTTTCAACCCTAATGGCGAAGTAAGGAAAAAAGCCGGCGTCCAGACAACCACGGCTGAAGACAGAGCCTGAGCTTTTGTTAACCGTAGACGCGGGATGTAGTAAAGCTCCCGCATTCGTTTTCAGTAAATGTCTGAACACAAAGACAACTAGTCTATACGCACTGTTATTCTTTACATAACAATAGCCTGACATTTAGCAATAAATACATCTTCAAGTATACTTTGGCTATAGAAATAAACACCTGAAACAATCACGCTTCACGATAGCTTCCGCTGATAAATCTTAAGCTCTTATAAAATAACAAGATTCTAATATTTACACACATAAGAAACATTACAACTAAAATTCAAACTTTGTTTATAGAGAAAACCTCCACTAGAACCGAATTTTCTCAGAGAGAATTTCTGTATTTTTTTTAAAATTTACATGATCTGTACTTTACTCTTTCAATAAATAATCTATCAATTCACTAAAAATTCCAGCTAAGAACTTTTCGCACTTTTTTCTTTTTTGGTTTCTTGTCTTTCGAAAGTCCTATATTTCTAGTTGATCGGCTGTCTTCTACAACGCTTTCATCCAGATCTCCACCCGGCGTCAAATCTGCAGGAAAATGAACATACACCCTTTCATTTTATAGACCTTTCCCGCATTACGCTCCAGTAAGCAAACATAAAGAAAAGAGGATGAGGTTAGGGTGGACAATTTCATACAAATCACTATATTTGTCCAACCGAGCCTCGAGTTGGTGCCTTTGTTTAGAGCAATGCGGGAAAAGTCTATTTGCAGATGACATCACACCTAAAAATAGTTTTATGGCAAACAAACAAACAAACAATCAACAACAACAAAACATTTACTTCCATAAAAAGTTAAAGTAGATGTCATAGTGAACAGCAAACTGCGAGTTCGAACCAACTTTTGCTTTATTATCAAGACTACAACATGAACGTACTGCTCAGTTCCAACCGAACTTGGCTCTGGAGGCGGTGGACAGTTATGTGAATAAGCCACGTAAATCGATCTACTAACTTCGACAATCGGAGCAAGTCACCGACATCTGTAGCATGTAACCCGTACTGTTCACTATTATTAGCGAACGAGTAAAATTTTCTCGAGTCATCAAATTCTAACCCAGTCACATCTATTCATGTCACTTTACCTAAATCTTCAGGAATACTCTGATTTTTGGATGCCTTCCTTCGGCCTTTTTTCTTTGCTTCTACGAATGAAACAACAACAACGACAACAAAAAGTATTAAGCTACAACCAGAGTTAAAAACAGAACACTTATAGCACCAGAACACCATAACAATGTGAAGAAAGGTGAGAAGCCTGTGGGACATTCTTGCTCACGTTTTTATCTTCATCGTCTTTGTCGTAATCATCCTCATAAGGTAGGAAATCAACTTTTTCCGACGGAGGCCTGAGCCAAACACCTTAATCTTAACTGGCTGTTGTTCATTTTACACTGTGCCAGCGTCTCGCTTTCTCACTCTCTTCCTCTTGCTTCAGGGTGCCCAGGTGAGGGCGGTGTGCAGTGCAACCTCTTCTTTTTTTGTACCTTATAAATGACCAATCCGTCCCTATCATTCCTATACCGTAAATGACCAAACAGGCGCCCAAATAAACACCACTTATAAACGCCCCCTCTACGCTGTTAAAATTGCGCCCATCTAAAATTGACGCCTTCTATGAGAATTACTCCAAAATACTAAGGATTAGCAACCAGGAGCAAAATCATTCAATATTCATTCAGTTTCTTACTTGATTAATAAGGCTTTACGTTTTTCATCTTGTTCAATGTCAAGTTAAAGTACGTAGAGACTAACGATAGCAACACAATAATCCTGAGCTAGGATACTGACATCGATGTTGGGATTTGAAAGAGTGATATGGATCTCTAGACGGCCTAGACGTATCAAATGATGGAGAGGAAGACGTCAGCACCTTTTCGGTGGACAATTTGAGGATCTTCGTGGACAATTTACTTTATCAACTCAGTTAATAAAACCAAACTTTTATGTTTCACTCTCCCATCAGCTAGTGCAGTACCACATGTTTCTTTTCTTTTTGAGAAATTAACCTCTTTACTCAAAAATTTCTACTATACTGTTACTATAATTATAACCACTTTACCTATCTGGTCTTGCCTGGAGCCCTGCACCTGTGTCACGTGACTTGACTTATCTAAAATGACAGGAAGCATCTGGCCAGCGGTAGTCCCCGCTATGGGGCGTTTTTCTTTTGCTTTATCCACATTGTCACCGCTAAAAACCGAAAACAATAGGCTAACAATTAAGCTCTTAAAATTGCTGTCCAAACAACACCTAACAAATCCAATAATATAGTTTTAGTCTTTTTTCATTTTTATTTTTTTAGTTTTACAAGCTTTTCTGGACACAGGCCTGCCCAGAAGGAATAGGCACAAACGGGACTCAATGGTCCCATGCAAGGTGCCATCCCTACCCAATCCCACAACCCGTTACGGTTGGACACACCACCGGGGTCTACGCTCCCTACTCTTTTCGAACAGTGGTGTGGCTTCTTTTACGTCCCACAAGAACAGATCAGTGAAAGTGCTGCGAGACGGAACCTACGGTTTTTCGTCCTTGTCCGAGAACAATGAATAAGAAGAATGAATATGAATGCTCTGCAGACTTTTTTTTTGGCAAACAAGATCGACGCCAAAAAGACCCCAGCTATATCCAATAAATGGAGTGCAACTGATACCAGGGTTCAACGCAGAGTCTGGCTGCCTTTTTGGAAAAGGAAGACGACTGCAAAGTGATCATCGGGAACATGCAACACTTTCAAAGCAAGAAGGAAAGACCAAACACAATGTTCCAGACTAATATATGACAATTACTTTACTATTTACCTTATGAGAGAATTCCGGGAAAATTTGGGAACTTAAGCAAAGACCTTTGAGCAACGTACGTCAACCAGAAGTGGACTTTTTGCATTCTTGAGCAGTTGTTGTGCCTACATTATCAGGGGAATCGTCTCTATAAGAGTAAAGACAACTAGCAATACACATTTGGTAGCGTAAAGGTATATTAAAAGGGAAAATGTCTCACTTCCGGTTGACGTGCGTTGCTCAAAAAGGTCTTTGCTTTAGCTCCTTATTGTCTACCCATACCCCTCCCCTAAATCAATGCTAGCAAAGGCAAAATGTTGGGTCTCAGGGGAGGAGTAAGTGGGTCATTTCCCAGAATCTTGTAAATACTTTTCCCATGGTTACAAACCTAACGGGGGAGAGATTGAGAGGATCAGACTTGACCTTGACTTTCCTGGCCCACTGTTTACCATTGTCAGTACTTTCTGGAGAGGCGACCTCTCTTGGGCTGCTCGATCCACTATGCTGGGATTTAACGTTCAAAGGAACCGGGCTCTGCTTTACTTTAGCCACTTTGAGTGGAGCTAACGGTGCTTCTGTTGACGGGGAAGGCGGTTTGATATCCATTGGGGTGGGCTTGTATGTGTTACTGAGTCTTAATCTTTCTGGCATTGTCTTGGATTTGATAGGTGCCAAAGCTGAAGAGGTACCCGGCCCTGAAGACCGTACGAAAGGCGACACTTGGTCCTGATGAATAAAGCAAACATTACATTTGTTTATTTTCTCAATCAGTAATTGCGTGGACCTAAAGACTACAACGTACGTAACAAGATCTAAACTCATTCAGATGACACTTTTAGTGTTCTGCATACTGTACTTGCGAGGCAGATCATTTTCTACGTTAATAATTGCTGAATACTATGAGGTTACAACATTTTGATAGAACTTAAAAAAATAATTATTACAATATTGAAAAGGACGTCTCAGAAGCCTTTCTAGGCTTATCAAGGAGACTCGACCCAGTCACGTGTTTAACGTGCAGTGCAATATACGGACAAACGTCTTCAGCCATAATTTCTATCCTTGACCACTTAAGGCATGAGTACATCCTAACAACTTTATGGTAGCAACCGAACATTCATAGTACACATATACATCTAAATGACTGGAGATTCTTACACACTTAATGGGTGCCGAGGGAACCTCAAACTTTGGACTCGACATTTTAGACCAACATTTACCATGAAGAATTGCTCTAGAAAACGTCCAAGATACACAAGAATTTTGTTCTAGATATTTCTTACCCTTTCATTATTGAAAAGCTTTACTGCATTTGAAATATTATACTCGGGTTTCGAAAACGTCTCATTTAACGATAGCCCCATTTCAGATCAACCCAGAGTTACTAAATTACGAGCTCATTAGGTGGCACATAAAGGACACCCCTCCACATGGGAGCCACACAGTTCAATTAACTATTAAACAAAAATTGCCCTAAACATTTCGTGAAAAAAGTACTTAATATGAGAGTGTCAAGGTATTTAGCACTAGATTACTGCTTTTTAGGCCACTATTTTTAGGTGGTCATCTGAGCCACTCGAAGGGTTTAGCCGTTTGCAACGCAAAGGCAGTACTTTCACTTCTCAGTTATTTTAAGACCCTTAGTATTGGTCTGGTCCAGGGAATCGAACCCACAACTTCCTGCTCTGCTGTCAAGCGCTCTACCAACTGAGCTAATCCTGCCATTAAAACCAATGGGAATATCAGTGAAAGCTACCAACCTCAAAACTAAACCTTGGCAAGATAGGTGGTCTTTTTGGGTTGTTATGATACTGATCCTCTGATGGAACAGGTGAGCCAGGTATGGGTGTAAGTGCCATCTGAGGGGGATATCGACTGTCTTCCTCACTGCTATATCCACTTGTATCATTCTCTCCATTCATGTTTGGGTGAAGGCAATCTAAACAACACAAGATAATTTAATTTGTGCCTGGATTACAGTGTTGATTAATGATCATTCCGCTGGGACTTTACTCAAGAAAATAGACGGTCAGTATTAAACTAAGTGTCCCAAGGATGTGCTCTACGAAGAATTGTTGGGAGCCCAAAAAGTTCTAAACGTGAAATTAAGGGTTGTCGGGAGCCACCAAACACTGTCACAGTGATATTTCCTTTTTCTCTAGCCTTGTGCTGCACTCACACCTCGTCTGCAACTATGTATTCACTGTGTCCTTGGCTGAATAACAAGTTGCTATAAGAATTTATGTACGCGGTTTTAAAATCACCTGTTAAGAAGTTTACATCTTTTTGTTATTTATGTTTTGCTGTTGCTTTTTTTAAAGCTTAAATTCATTGGAACATCGTAAGCACACCGAGAAGAAAGAGAGCGACTTTTAAAAACAGGTTTTACCAAACTAAATTTCATTAATACAACTGTCCTTAGGCAGTTAGTTAGCAAGGTTTAAACTAAACGCATAATCATTAATATGCTGTTAATCAAAAGCAGTTTTAATAGCATAGCACTGGTACGACTTGTAAATGCAGTGGTTACATGTATATTCAGTGGACTCCAATTTCATAGTTCTGGTTCGGTAGTGGGTTACCACATAGAACAAGAAAATCTGTTCCACACTCTCTCTCTTGCTGCTAATAATGGGTACCCGAGCAACAAAATACTAAGTGAAGTCTTTTGGATGCAAAATTCAAGACTCCCCCCAAACTTACAGACAACTGATAGAAACTTTTAAAAATACATGAACAATGATTTCCCATGATGCATTGCAAACATACCATAACCAAACTGCAATAGGACATGAGAGCGTTTTAAAACTTCTCATTCTGTGATTATAATTGACTACTGACAAAAATTGCGCTTAGAAATAATCAAGCACTTGTTGGAGAGCTGCAAAAAAAATCCACACTTTTTACCTTTTTTCCAGACTCAATATTCTCTCAGACTTAATATTTCAGGTCCGAAAACTTGTTTGCAAATTTCAAGACTTTTCAAGAATTCAAGACTCTATAGAAAACTGTTAGACTATTATTTTCTCTCCCAGGCTGCTGTAAAAAAGCCCAAGTTATATTTCATTTCATTTCATTCTATTTTTATTTTTCCATTCCATAATGATTATAAATAGTAGATTATAAATCACAGACAAACGTTAGAGCTTGAGTCATTGAAAGTTTACATTATAAGATAAAGTACAGTTAACATCATTACATTTAGAGACGTTTGTCACAAAAAGAAGAAAAAAAGTGGAAATACATCAATAAATGAATTAAAAAATAGATGTTTCATTAGTATTGAGCGAGAGGCCAGGCAAGTTAGATGGATTATTAAGGTAATAGCATCTACAAGGTAGTTAAAAGGCGTTATAAATGCAAAAAGCTAACAAAGAAGACCAAACCACGTATAGAGGAGTTCATGCTCATAGTTGCATCATGGGTAATCAGGGCAAGATGGCGGGAAATAATTAGAAGATTTGTATTAGAATTCAAAGCCAGCTGTTTTTTCCTGAATTCATATATTTGATGCTTTCTATAAAAAAGAAGAAGAAAAAGAAGTCCGTGATCAGTTTTTAGAAAAACTCAATTTTTCCATACATTTTCTGTAATTTTGATACTGTCGAATTACAGAAAATGTACGGGAAAATCAAAGTTTTCTAATAACTAATCACTGACTTCTTTTTGCACTCCAGATTTAGTGTATTGTTTCTTTGAACTCCTAAGTTACTCTTTTCAAAGAGAAAGCATCAAATAATGAATTCAGGAAGAAATATTTGGCTTTGAATTCTAATACAAATCTTTTAATTTCCCTCCGTCTTGCCCTGATTACCCATGATGCAACTATGAGCGCCAACTCCTCTATTGTAGTCATAATAATATCAAGATCACTTGAGAACTGCACAAAGTAAAAGCTTATAAGAGTGCTGTTGTCTGCCGCACATTTTCAAACATTCTCACGTACTTTTTAGGCAATCAGATTTTGTGTGCCAAATGAATGCAATGCAATAATTGGTTCAGCCTTCTTCTTTTGTCTCAGGTAAAATGGCAGTATTATAAAGACCATTTAATGTTAGAGGTACATGTATCATGGTGTATGGTATCTTACAGGGTGATGCCGGGGGTGTTATACTGGGCCATGCACTAACACCTTGCAGCAATGAAACCATGTCCCCTGTACAAAAAATACCTGGAACATTAGTCATGCAAGTTTAAAGGATTTACATGTAAACATAACATAACATAACAACATATAACATAACATAATATAAACATATAAGATAACATAACATACATATAACATACATATAACATAACATAACATAGCATACTTACAACAAAACAATCATAAAATGAAATAAAATAAAATAAAATAAAAATACATAAAATAGACTAAAATAAAATGCATGTAAGCTCTGTGTTCAACAGTTTGGTATTTTGCCAGTGGTATAGTTCAAGTTTATACCATGTATTATTAAAAACTGAATCATTGGATAATGCAATTCTAGAGCTCTGATTGGCTTAGCCATCATGGTATATGAGCCATTACACCATGCTCTCCAAATATGGTAACTGTACCCGTCTGCTCAAAATTAAAAACAAGCTGAAAATCGGGTTATTGTTTTTACAAATAAAGCCGGGAAGAATTCTCGATATTTTGTGGGTGTTTTTAACAAAACAATTATTCCACTCACACTTGTTGAATATGAGATGATTGTAGCTATAACTCATACATTGTATCCTCATTGTATTCCTGAACCTCACAATCACATAATCATTGTAAAGCGCTATGAAAGAGTAGCTGAATAGCGCTATATAAATTATTAGTATTATTATTATTATTATTATTATCCAACGTGCACTCGTGGAATAATATATTATTAATTATACCACCAATAAATATCTCTGGGGGTTTTTCACTACTTCATTTTAACTAACTAGACCCAGCATTATTTTATCTGGGGCTTGGTGTTTAATCTAGCAAATATGTGTGTTGATGAATAGTTGATTAAGTGGCCTCCTATTACACTCTGAAATGTAACTGCGGTCATCACAATTATTTTCAAAATTACAAAGATAGTTATATTTTTAATAAATAATTATTCAAAAGCAGAACAAAGCCCTGCGTGACACTTCACCTCATGTTGCAAAGCACTCCCTTCATTCAAAAAGAATTTAACAAAAGGAATTTATAATTTGATCAGGAGTCACTCGGGTATTTTTCCAGGAACTCCATCATTTAATATACAAAAGTCACATATATATGAGCTTTAATTTTTAAGCACAAAATAAATTAAAATGCATATCACCCACAATGTTTTACATTGTATGATTATTTATTTGTTATGTCTGTTTTATCTTTGATGATTAGATTCTTTATTCTCATAGTAACAATAATTTTAATGTTGGACAAAGTTAGGAAACACGCCAGACAATGACGTACTAACCTGCATGATCTACACAGCTGTCTGGATCATCATCAGCATTCATCTCAACTTGAACCTGAACAGCTGTAGGAGCAGCAGAATTGCCAAAAATCTCCTGAACCTCACAATCACTGAGATCTGCTGCTGCAGCCTGATGCTGCTGTGAGTCAAAACCATTTGTTATGCCACCATGGTTTTGATCAAATGGATGCATACCATCCGATCCATGCCTACTATTATCAGGAACGCGAAGACTTTCTGAGGGAGATTCTACAAAACAAAATACGACAATAACAGAAATACAACGTTAATGATGTTATAGAAATATATGTAAATTATTTTATGACTGGGTCTTGATAATGACATAAAGGTTTTGTATACAAAACAATGTAAATGTATTAAGTGCACTGACAATGCTGCATGAAGTTTACAATGGTCATCCACTCTAACAAATTTAGTGACCAAGTGATAACCTGAACTACATAGTACATGCAGTTGCATGATTTCATGCAACACATACAACAACAAATGTGATGATGAACTTTGCAGTGTGGTTGCATATTCAAGTCTTAATGGGAAGGAGAGCCAGAAAATGTTTTTCCTAAGGTGTTAATAAAGGTTCAACTGTTTAATCCACTCACCCCAGAACGTAACGACCAGAATTAGCTCGAATTGGTCAAGGAGACTGGAAAAAACGGTAAAAACCCATGTAACATTGACTTAAAAATTCCTATGAAAATCTTGTTTGACAACCCACCTACCTTTCCTATCATCTAATCCTAAGATCCTAAAAGCTTTCCCAAAAACATTTCCCTACTATAAACGTCCAGCAAAAGAAAAAAAAGGCAAGAAAAGTGAAAGAAGAGGGGAGGAGAGAAAGCCAAAAGAAAAAGTCAAGACGGCTGTGGCACTTGTAAACCCAAAAACTATCTTGAAATTGTGCTTTCTGCGCATGCCAGAACTTCGGAAACTACTTTTGTATCTGGATCAGCAGCCTGCAAAGTGTATGACCTGAAAATGGTTTTTGGTAAGTTTTAACTCTTTATAGCCAGACAGTGACCAGAACAGGTTTTTTGGCGTAATTCCCAAGGGCAAGTGAGTTAAAAAGCCAATAATTTTAATAACCAAAGCTGAGTATGACTCAAAAAATTAAAGTTTAAATAGTGACCACAAAATATGACAAACATGGTAATTAGGGCCATAATATAAGGCTCTTGGGTTTCAGTAATCTGTGGTACAAAAAAAAAAGGACAAAATAACAAGGGTTCGAAATTTCTTTTCGAACCCAGTCTTCACTCAGTTCTAATTCTTGGTCGCATATTTTAACTCCTCTACCTTGTTTAATTTAGTTTGAGAAATGAGTTCATCCCTACATATTTTTAACAACAATAAAATGACTGCTTATTAACATAAACAGAATAAACTTAAGTTCCTTAACAAAACAACTAAAAGTTGTTTTGGGCCACAAACAATAACAATATTGCAATATTATTTTCAGAACTAAAACACTACTCCAGCTAATTGCACTGACTATAAATTTAAATCATGTCATGTTGAGTCTTTAAATGCAAGAAGTACTAAATTACACGCATCTGCATCAAACCTGACCATTGGATAACACTTTTCACTTCACTGTAAAATACAACATTATTAAGTATTATTTTATTCCTTACTTTTAGCATTCATTAGAACACACACCACAGTCATATTCAATGTACAAACAAAGAGAACACACTTCTACATTAATGAGCCCTTTACAGCTGAGGGAAAAGATTAAAATTTGCCATAAAAGATTTGCACTAGCGACATGGACTTTTAGAGATTTTTAAAATAGCATCTATTGACTAGAAAAAGCACACTCATCTGTTTAAAACACAAAAATCAGGTTCTCTTGTTGCAAGTGCCTTAAATAATACAGCCTCTGATGTCTAAGTGCTGGTAATGCCACATATTTATTTTACATGACAAATCAAAATACATTTAACTACTTACTTGACTGCAGAGTTCTCAAATCTAAGAAGAAACCAAGGAGAGGAAACAATAACCGACTGATCAAATTTTTGAATATTAAACAGACCGTACCAAAGAACACTTGATTTGACTTGTTCCAAAATGAACACTTTATAACATTTTGACAAATCCCAGTTAAAATGACTAACAATAATAATAGAAACTGAAAAAAAAAAGCTTCATTACAAATGTCACAACAGAACAAATAACATTAGGCGATAAAAGCCCTCTTTAAAATCCAAGAACCTTTCTTATTTGACTGAGATGAACTTCTGTCAGCTTTGGAATAAAAAATGCAAAATACAATGAAGTGTTCCATTTCAAATACAGTCCAAATAAATGGGAGATGAATCAAAATATAAATGGACAGACATGTGTGACTGCTTCTTAATAAAAAATGGAAAAGAATCTAATATATAAAACAAAATGAGTAAAATATAATAATTATTGACAGGTTTTCACAGAAAAATATAAAATAAATAGGCAAGGAAATACCTCTCACTGATTTGTTCTCTCAAATAAAATACAAGTAATTTAAGTCCTTTTCTGGACTAAAACTTTGCTTCAATATGACAAACCAAACATTAACTACATTGGAGGGATATTTGACAACACTTTTTTCTTCACTTACACAGAATTTATCTCCAGGAACAGGTGCATAATTAACATATCAAAATGAAAAGAAACTAAGAAAAACGTTTCTGGAAGATAAGCTTACATATAAACCTATCAGAGAGCAACATTCTCTTCTTTCACAAAAAAAAAAAAATTCAAAGCAAACATAAAAAGAGAAAGAAAGAATGGAAATCCAGATAGCAAGCTGCAGTACAATAAAGAAATTTAAAAAATCATCTTTTTGGATCTTAATCAAGCACTCAAAAAATTATAAACCTACTTGTTTGGAAACTTACTATGTATGAGCAAGGACTAAAAAACAGGAAAGGTTTTAATTTTGAGTTGAGAAATCAATAGATATAATTATCATTCTATTTATATGTAGCACTGTGTGTCTATAAAAGGGTTTGTCATATTCCTTTCTTAGTCTGCTAGGAAGAGCAAGATTTTCAGATCATTCAAGATGGTTAGGAAGGAAGATAACATAAAATCATACATTTAAGGATCCTTTTCTGTTTCACTACTTCAAACTTTGAGCTATGATATTAATTACAGCCACAATGGTGATTGTACTCACACTGTTGAGTAATAACCACATTTTCAATCTGATTGCATACATTAAACAAGAACTGTGGCCACCTCTATTTTATAACATTAACTCATGAGTTCACTGGTAAATTTGTAAACTAGTATTTTCAGTTTCAGAAGAAACTTATATGAAAATCATCTTATTTTTCACAGAATTGCAAGTATCAATATTGCAGTGTACATCCTTAAAACACTAGATAAGACATTCCTCTTCTCCACCTCTTCTGTTTTCTGTATTATGATTGCTTTCGCTTATCACCTATAATTTAGCAAGTGTTATACAACGAAAACAAAAATTTGAGACAAGTTCTTTTAATTAGCAGGGCTTGAAATAACTCATAGGCGCGGAACATTTCCGTTTAACGTGATTTTGTTTAACATAGGCAATTTTGGCAGTTGTCCAAATTTAATCCAAAACTACCTAGTTGCAAAAGAGAACCATTTTGAACTTAAAAATCTGTATCATTTTCAATAACAGCAACTCTAGTTACTTTCTATTAAAAAAAAGTTGTATTTTATTACCCATGTTACATTGTAAGTCAGACACGTGGATTGCAAGACACAACCTCATCGTTAACGTTTGGTTGAAACCTGACCAAATCACTAACAAAACGTAACCTTCAACTTTTTCTAGTACAACATTTACATTTTAGCAAATGCTGCTTTGTTTCAAAATAATTTCAAACGGGCAAATAAACTTGTGAAATAGTTTGAAGAAATCAATTTCAAACCATACCAAACGCTAATGAGTAAATTAATATACAACTATGTAATATAATCCTGGTTTACACCAGAATGAAATCTAGACTTCAGAGTGATTTGTTAAAATTTTGTTGGTTAACGTTTCTTTTTGAGTGTCATTGACCTGAAAATTCTCCATTAAATCTTGTTCCACTGCCCAATGAAAATAATCGTATCCTTTCACCTTCTGGCAAGTAACATCGCCCTAAAAAAAAATCCTGGTAGTGGGCATTCATTGGCATTTGAATAATGTATTTCCAAGAAAAGGGTGATGAATGTTGAGTTAACTAAATGCCCAGTGAAGAACATGCAAAAAAAATTACAGACAGGCAAAAAAAGACAAACTCTATTTTTATGTTTAAAAACTCAAAGCCTTTTATTTTAATGTTACATTTGTGAGGAGCAAAAGGGTGGCCTAATTCATTATACTGTCACTCTGGGTCTTTCTTTTTTTTTTTTGCTCTTGTTGGCACCAATGCTATGCAGGTTATTTTCGGCAGCGGTCAAATCTTGAGCACTTTACAACACGCTGTGTAGCCAATTTTAAACCCAAAAATGTCATATTTCAAAATAATATCTTTTTTTGGAACATGATAAGATTGAATAAATTTCCATCATGATTGTCTCAAAATTGAATTTTCTTTGAAAGCCCAAATGACCGGACAACATGTCTGGTCATCCACGGATTTGCTCGGACAATGCTCGATTCTGACCGGACATTGTCCGTTGACCGGCCGTTATTTCAAGCCCTGATTAGATATTATCATAGTAATATTTGTTTACTAATTAACAACAATTTTGTGCAGTTGTCCCATCAACAAAAACACCGAAGCAAAAAAAGAACAATGAACTAAAAAAATGGCAGCAATAAGCCACTGGCACTTTCTAAAAAACTATATTAACTTAATAATGAAATTTTTCAAAATCAGATGAATGGCTAAAATATTACTACACAGACCAACAGGACATTGCATTAAAATAACTGGAAACACTTCTTCATGTATCTTCTCTTTTGCACTACTTTTCCCTTTTCAAGATTTAATAATATTGAAACGCTGTGGATATACAAGCTTTCATCACACCCATAGTCAAGACTTGACTATGGGTGGAAACACATACCAGCATAATACATACAAAACACATATAATTACATGAAAACACATACTCGGACCACTAAACCTGACAAACACATAAAAGTAGCACACCTTGATGATCGGCTAGGGGACTATCTACGTATTACACCTACATGATTGAATGCTAAGCAAGTGACTTCTGATAAAATTCTCTATTCTAGTTATAAAATTAGTTCACCTGACTATCTTAAGTTGGTGAGTTTGTGTTTGTGACTAGCCTTGCTACCATGGAATTATGACATCACAAGAGATCTTACTATTATTACTGGAAAAGGTTTACACAAGTTTTGAATGTCACCAAAAACTGCTTCATTTTTTCATGTCGTCACCTTCTTAATGATGTCACTCTCAAGTGACAAAATAGACTTTTGCATGCTCACGAAGGGCATTATGGAAAATTAATAGGCTTACTTTTATTATCTCAACCATAATACATCCATTCCAAGTTAATTTTAATCTATTTTGGCACAAGTTGAGAATGATGTCATAGCAACACTAACGTGTTGTGCAAAAGGTTTCCTGCTAATTCTTATTCTCAAGGTGTGTAACAAACCTTATTTAATTCAAACATTATAATAATAATTATTATTAATACATTATAATATTTTGATTTTGAACATCATTTGGAAAAAAAAGTGACAAGATATTTTAGGGTAACATTTTATATTTCATATACAACATGCCAGTTCCAAGAACAGATCTAGATAAACCTGATTCTGTTCCTAGCTTTACACTGTACAGTATTAGTGTCCCCAACTCCTGGCCCCAACTACAGTAACAATTTCATGGGAGACACTTTCCAGATCAAATTGGAACTTGGAATGTTGGTTTGTGAATGCAAACTGTCAATAGCAACCATTCTTAGAGTATGATGGTATTAGAAAAAGGTACATGTATAAGAAAACTCTGCCTACCACCTTAATTATTGCTTGCAATCAGCTACTGTTCATAGTACCTTTTCCTTGTGGTATCTGCGTAGCAAGAGGGTTACTTGGGTCATGATCTATCAGCAGCTTACAGCATGCAGAGTGGTAGCCCTGTTGCGCATACTGTAGAGGTAATGCTTCATGTTTGTCTTCAGTATTCTTATCACTTCCAAGTCTTAGTAAAAGTGCAACACAATGAGCATGTCCAGTTGCTGCTGACCAGTGTAGTGGAGTTCTATTGATAGTTAAAACCAAAAATATAGAATGTGTGGTTCCAGAAAATATCCAGACCCCCACCACGTAAGGAATTGCAAATTCCAGGGGGGTGGGGGGGTCAGAGGCCCAGGAAATTCCAGAAGGGAGGGGGTGTTGGACCATAAAATCACTTTCCAGGGGGGCAATATCATTTTGATTTCCACCTGAGATCAACCATTGCTTCTTACCGACCTGGTAGATCATATTTAGGACATAAATAACTTGAAATATATCACTTAAGATTGTTCCTTTTAATCTTAACCAGGTTTCCTTTCTTCTAAAAGCGTTTAGGATATTCAAAGGAATTAGACCAACTACAACTCATTTTATCGCATGCTCGTATATTCGGCTGCGATTACTTGTTACCAGTCTTCCCCAAAACATCAACGCATGCAACACATCACGCAACACAACACGTTGTGTCAGTTGATCGATAGATCAGAAGAGTGGCAATTTTGCCTCACGAAGCACAAGCTATACATTGTAACCATTTTAGAATGAAGAGTTTTTATTCTCCTTTTCATTTTCCCTTAATTTTGTGGTTGAACGTGTGGCATGTTCTTGATCGAATTCTTGCTGAAATGGTGTCGATTTCACCAAACATTTATACGGCCATCGCGTATCACGTCGTATCAATCGATCAAAAAACAGTAAATTGAACTTGGTTTCCCTTCAAGTATCTTCAAGATGCAGGGGGGTATTCATTGTTATCATTTCAGAATTCAGAGTTTTTATTCTCCTCTTTGTTTTGCATTAATTTTGCGGTCGTAAGTTTGACTTGTTCTGCATTCCCGCACGAAATGGCGTTAATTCTATCAACATTACACCCATGAGACGAATAACAAATCTAAGCTTGCCCTAATGTAGGTAAATATAATATATAACCGACTTATTAACTTTCTCTGTTTCATTTAAAGTAAGAGATGAGCAAAAATTACAGATCAGGTTACTTTGTGGTGGTGTAGTGTGTTTTAATGTTGCGAGGTCACTCAAATAAATGGAAACAGAAGCATACAAGCTTCTGATGGAAACCATTGGGTACTAACCATAAGTTACCTCATTCTTCTACTTTAATAGTCTTCTCTTCGTGAAAATGAACTTTTCCAGAGGGGTTGGGGGGTCTTTGTCACACTTGTGGAAATTCCAAAGGGGTGGGGGGTCATCAGTTCCCTGCAAAAATGGAAAATCCAGGGAGGTGGGGGGGTCCTAAGTGAAATTCCCTCCGTGGTGGGGGTCTGGATATTTTCTGGAACTACACAATAAGCCAGAAGTTGGATTCATGAAGCCAATGTCTTACGAAAGCAAGGGTGGCACAGTGGTGAGAGCATTTGCCTCCAGGGCTCATTTGGCAAGCAGCTCTCACATTATGCTTACCTGAGGCCACTTCTTGCTCACCTTTGTTAATGATTAGTTAGAGGATGACTGGCCTGCTGGATCCCTTCCCCATCGGGCACCCTGTAAGCTTTAAATACTTTCCCCGTAGGAACATCCACTAGGACTACCAAACGGGATTATTTTTGAGCCCTGCCCTCCTACCAAAGTATTCTGGGTTCAAGACCAAGTGTTGACACCGTACATGTATGTGGTTTGAGTTTGTAAGTTGGTTCTCTCCCCATGCTTCAAAAGGTTTTTTTTCTAGGTCAGGGTTAGCAAATTTTATTGATGAGTGGAGTCAGTGTGACTTCTGCTTCACAAATTTTGGAGTCATTTTGGAATATTTGGAGTCAAGTATCAGACTTTCCAGCACGTGGTCCCGGCATGTATACACTATCGTGAGGGATACACGACGTAGCTGTGGCGGTCCGCTGACCTGGAAAGCTCAAATCCATGGTGGCGGTCATCGAGTAAACTTTGATCGTAATTTACCCTCTTCCTGTTTTGTCGTGGAGTATAATTCTTTAATTTCAATGATTTAATATCATAATTAACAAATTGTATTTGTTATGAAAAAGGTTAAAACTGTGTTTGTTACCGAAAATTTCTGGAGTCGAAGTGGCTCCCTGTTTGTTACCGAAAATTTTTGGAGTCAAAGTGACTCCCTCCGTAACCTCAGTGGAGTCATCTGAACAATTTTGGCGTAAAATACGCCAAATTTGGCGTAACCCTGTAGGTACTCTAGTTTTCCCATCTCCTCAAAAACAAACATGTCCAACTTCCAATTCAATGTGGAACACACAGACATGTTTAAGGTAAACACTTATTTACAATGTATGCAATGAATTTTAAGTAATACCTGCCCTCATTGTCCAAAGGTTCAATGTTTGCATATGGCACTGCAGTGAGTCTGATAAGCACATGGTATTGCCCTGCAGCTGCTGCTAAATGAATCGGTGTTCTTCCAGAGAAATCTTTTCCATTCACTAGGTTATGGCAATCAGGAACCTCTAACATGGCTTCACAAGTTGAAACAAAGCCATTCTGTGCATTTAAAGCAACAAGGACATATACAGTAGTTAGCCAGTTAGTCAAGAAGAAAAATTGGACTTGTCCATATTTAACATTATATAAATTAGGTGCTTATGAAAAAAGAACAAGTATAAAATGTTATCTTAATAAATAAAAATTAATAGATCTAGATGTAACCATTTTACTCTCAAAATGCCTTAACCTAAAAATATCCAAAAAACATCTTTAACTGATAATGGAAGATGTTATTAGTCTCTTGCTTGTGTAAGCAGCGAGATAATCATAATCTGCAATGCCTTTTTGCATTTTTGTTTGTATTTCATACACAAATAGAGGTTCACTGTGCCAGGCGATCCTAGCGGAGACCGTGGAAACTGGGACTAGGTATCGTTGCGAGATCGAAGTCACACATGTTTAGGAAAGATTAAATTTAGAGCTTTTCCGAAACATGTCTGTCCACAAATTCTATCGCTTCAAAGGGTTCGGCAGGAGCGAATGTGTTAATTACTGGTGATTGATGCATTACAAACATCACTCACGGTCCATGAATTTTGATCATAAGCATTAACTTTATAAACCCACAGGGTGAAGATTAGAGAGACTCAGGGTAGCAAACGAAATTCCATGATGGCAATGATAGGCTCCAACACGTTGTACAGATCCTAAGTTCAACATATCAACTTCTCTAAGCACACTTCAACAGCAGTACAGTACATATAACAGTTGGTACAATGTAGTAGTGGCACAAGACAAGTAATTAATGACAATAGAAGTAAGAGGGGGTGGAACAAACATGAGGTCAGATAGAAGTGATGGTGATGGTACAGTGTGGCAGTCACTTGAAAAAAGTCAACATTAAGCATGTAGTCAGCTACAGTACCATAAGTTTACTCTTCTAGTCAGCATCTGTAGACAGTAGCAAATGTTAAAGAAAAAATATATCTAATGCCATTAAAAACACCTGTGCAGCCCAGTGAAGTGGCAGTTTTCCATCTGTGTCACGTGATATCAGATCAGCTTTCTTCTCCACTAGTTTCTTCACATGACCTGTTCGTCCATGGAAAGCTGCCCAGTGAAGAGCAGTCATACCCTAGGAGAGACACAAGAAAAAAAGTTGCAAAAACTAGACAGAACTGTACTTATATAGTGTGATTCATAAATAAATGATAACCCATAAGAGCACATTCACATACTTCATTATCTCTGGCATCTATGTCTTGTAATGAGAGGTGCTGCAAAAGGACTTCAAGGGAGCTGCAGAAAGGAAATAAAAACATTCAAATACCATAAACTGTCACTTATAAGTCCTGGGTTTACATGTAGACGTTTTCGTAGGGGGTGTAGTTTAAAGGAGAGCTTTTACATGCATATAGAGGGGGCTTATATCCAAGAAGGGTCAAAACCCAAATATTCCTAGCAGTAACTGTTGGTTAGAAAGTGCAGGCGGAAATGTGGGTTTACCTTGAAACTGCTTTCATGATTGCATATGTGAATCAGAGAAAGCCCTTTTAGTTCAAGCGTCAACAAAAGGGATCTTGGCGGATCATGAACGTGGAAACTGGATTGAATAACACAGTAAACAAGACTCATATTTCATTTTAACGATTTTATTCACAGCTGCTTAGATACTATTAGCCTGCAAATGGTGAGGAGTAATGAGAGACAGCTGTATTCGCAGGCAAAGATAGAAATAAAACAGTAATGCATTCAACACAAGTAATGTGTGTATACACAGTCATTACTGCACCAAGTCTTATTATTACATCGAATATTCAATCCATGTTCAAGGACCACAGGCCGTTGATATGCAATAGAAAAAGTTCATATTGAGACAGCTTAGTTTACCACTGAAGTTTAAAGCTTATTGAAGTTTTTGGATGATAAGCGACGTAACATACTTGGAAACGTACACGAATTTATGAAAACCATGCACTGTAGTGAAACCTGAATAAACTTAACTTCAATGGATACATTGTATTTTCTCGGCTTTGCTAACTCTCGTATCTTAGCGAAAACTTGTGCCGCACTAAGCTTAGGTCATATCTACTTTCATTTTCCTGGGTAAATAGATTCCAGAATGGCAAGGTGAATCGAGGTCTCACGTTTAGTGCAGTACTTGACTACCTGAATTATGTGTGCTTGCAAATTGAATAATGACTGTTGTATCAGCTGCAGGAGCATTCACATGATTACTGTGCAATTTACTGGTTTTTAAACCTTCAAAACGTCATAATAAATTGAAATCATTTCAATACATTTCAAGGGGGGCTTCTATCTTTGAGTGTGTGTGTGTGGGGGGGGGGTTATAAGTGGCAGTCAAGAGTAATGTTATGCAGCTACAACTGTAAACAGAGATGACACACAGCCAAAGATTTACATCTCTCAAGGCTGCTGCCTAGGAAAATTTATTGGGAGCCCTTTGGGCTCCTAAAATAAAATGTTAGGAGCCCAAGCCAAAAACAGAAAATACAAATGTAGTAGCAGGGTGACAGGAGGTTTTTTTACCTACAGTCAACTCCCTTTATAGCAGACACTAGCTGTAGGGACCCTCGATCCTCGAACCTTGATTCACACATTTCTAAACTCGAATGAATTATTGAGTTTCGAGATGAGTGAATCAACTTTTGAGTCACAAGTTGCGCGTTTTGAGAAACCAGCATTTTTGAATATTCATGACTTGAAAGGATGTCGAGAAAACTATTTAATTCTCAAGAAAAATAACTTTCCGCTCTTACAGCAGTTCACACTGACTGACAATACTTTCAAGTACAATTTCAGCAAAGTTAAGTTGGGCCTAAAGATCAAACATTGAACTTTTCATGAGAGGAACCAAACTTAGGGAGTTAAGGTTCATGAAAAGTTGAACATCTGGCTCAGTCTGGCTCCTTATGTTTCAAATTTTAGTCATCCGCGAGCAAATTGTAGGTGCCCATTAGGCTACAGCAGCCTTGCTATAAGACCAGCTTAGGCACACGTACAAAGAGGTTAACTTACTATTCATTACTAAAATATGTAGCAGCATGAAGTGGAAGCCTTCCACAGTTATCAGCAATCAAGCAGTTGGCACCCTTAGCAAGAAGATAATACAGCCCATCATGCCAGCCCTGCAGATTAATAAAGTACAGTCAGTAAGTACAGTAAAGTATGTAATTACTGTAATATAGTCAGTCAAACAAAGTGTCTGATATTATAAGATGATGTGACTTTGCTCTCCTGTTGACTTCAAATAAAATAATATGGCATAGTAATCCACAAAATCTTAAATAGAACTCCATCAAAGATAAGGCTCTTTTGCTTTGGAAACATATGCAGACCTCAGAAATACACATGTGAACATGTATCTAGCCTTGCTGAGATCAAAGATCTATACGTGCTTGGGGGCAGAGGGGGGGAAAGAAATAGCATTAGCTTACATGTGCACTTTTTACATGATGTGACCTCTTACAAAATCATATTTTTTTTGTAGTGAAAATATGCTTAGCTATTTGTGAAAAATACACTAGCTACTTTGAAGGTCACATTTCACATTTACAAATAAAATGAACATATAATCATAACTGAAACTGTACATAAATTAGCTAATTAAAAAAGTACATTTCAACATAACACATATGCAATGTACTTGTTTAAAACTGTCAGGTTGTTTTGTCCCAATAAAAATTTCATAGTGCTAAGTTATTTTTCTCTTGCATTACCTTTGTGATAGTCACTAGCTTTTATGTGACCTGAGTGAAACACTACCATAGACGTTTACCTTGCTTCAAAGTGCAAAAATATTTACAACACTATTGTAGTACAGCGAAATTAAAACCACGTCATTATTACAAACATACTGTTTTGACCCATACGTAAAAAACACCGAGTCCTTTTATTATTAATTTTTGAAGACCCTGTTAAAATGACCACCATGCGTCACAACCAGGATTTTATGGCCCAATGGTAGTTGCAATACCGCCAGCCCAATATACTCAAAATGGTCTCCACATAGTCACCATTAGGCTAGTGGTTAAACTAATACCGGGTACATTGTACATTACAGCTGTGAGTTCACATCATGAGGCGATAACCAGTACATGTAACTAACAAATAATTGAATTACAAACTACGCTAATCTTAAGGGCACAAAACAATGTTGGACTATACCTGATAAGCTGCCAGTGCCACTGGAGTTCTTCCAACATCATCACGTGTATCAATATTTGCCCCTGATGTAACAAGGAACTGAACACACTCTAAGTTATTGCAACTGACAGACTGAAACAATGGGGTCATACCCTGACTGTTCCGGCCTTCTAAAAGATCTGCAATAAACATCATTAATCAAATAGTGATTCAGAACATGTTAATTGATGATTACATGTATTTTTCATCCAATTTCATATCCCCAGTGCTGACTTCTATTCTTTTTCATTGAATAAATAACCTGGCTGTCAATTATTCTACACTGTTGCAGGTGATTAAAGAACATGATTGTACATATGTCAGACACCTATCTCAACAGCCAACAAATGCCATGTTTTGAACAAAATCAGAATACAGCATACAATGAAAACTGTCTTTGTAAGAAAGCTTTATCAATTTAATGGCAGAGGTATAACATGAACTAGCCCTTACCTATATCTTTAGCTATCTCCTTCTTCAATTCTTGCAAATCACCTTTCAGCACAAGTTGATGAATTAACATCACTCTCCCAGCAGTTGTTGTTTGCATGAGGGGTTCACAGACGGAACCTCCTGGTAGAAAAATAATTTGGAAGAAGGAGAATTCTTATTAATACATGTATCAGAAAGCCCAGAAAAAATTCTGAGCTCCAGGTGAGAATCAAACTCACAACCCTCCAAGTTCTAGTTCGAATGCTCAAACCACTGAGCTGCTGTGCATGTAGGCTCTATATATGGCCAGCAGAGTCAGATTTAATTATAACTACACCAGTCATAAAGGACTGCATTGGGGACTTGCAGGAAATCGGCCGAACAGCAGCATACAAGACTAAGACTGTACGCTATACTGTAATTTGGAAGATTAAGGAGAATTCTTACACCAGAAAGTTCAGAAAAAATTCCAAGTTCCAGAAATGTTAATAATGAAATTACTGTTTGAAGTACAGTGTAGTTTGCATCAAGTATACTTCAAGTATACTTTTTTGAACTACACTTTAAGATACTTCCTGTAAAGTATACTTCAAGTATACTTTTTCAGTGCCCAACAATTTAGTACTTTAAGTATACTTTTGGTCAGTACACTTTGAGTATATTTAAAGCACAAATGAAGTATACTTTTAAATGTCTTCCAAAGTACACTTTAATAAATATTCTGAAATTTCTGTAAGGGTGGTGAGAATCAAACTCATGACCTTCTGCGTCCTATTTCAGATGCTCTAACTACTAAGCTACTGGAGGCACTATGGCGACCAGGGTCAGAATTTACTATTATAACTACACCAGTTATAGATGATAACCACTCAAGTGTTTTCTTCACAACAGAAAAAAAATAAGACAAGAAAAGCAAAGAAGAGGGAAGGAGAAGAAAGGAAAAGAAAAGGTCAAGATTACTGTGTTTAGCATTAAACCCAAACACTATCTCACCATTTTGCTTTCTGCACATGCCCAAACTTCAGAAGCTAATATTTTGCATCTGGATCAGAAGGCGCTAAATGTACAACCTGTTAGCACCTTTGTGGCAAGTTTTAAAAGCAGCTCTTTTAACCAGACAGTGACCAGAAAATGGCTTGACTAGCTTTAAAACTTGTTTTTCGGCAAAATTCACAGGAGTGAATGGGTGAACTGAGTTGATAAGGTAAACTGGTCAGCATGCTCTGATGTTTGGTGGGAACATGCAAAATGTGAATAAATAAGTTGAATGAAAGCATTCATCGAGTTTTACCCGATTAAGTAATAATCATGCCTCATTCATGTTAAACGGTCCCTCTGCATAATGTATTTCTAACTAATTTATGCTAAAGGAGAGATCGATAAATACACGGTTGCCTCCAGCACATCCTCCCCCTCCTCTATGCAGGGCTTCTGATATTTCGCGCAGTCGCGGACCCGCGAAATTCAGGTGTTTCCGCGAAATCCCGCGAAATTCGCCAAAAATATTTCCAAAGACATGTCTGCAAAACATATTTAATACTTATCTTGGCTATTAGACCTATTTTATTCACCCCAAACGTCCAAATTTATCTTGAAACTTCGTCACTGCAATGAGTAAACAACGTCCCAAAACTACCACGTGTTTTTAGATGAACGTTGCGAAAAACTGGGCACTAACCATAATGTTAATAGCTTTAGCATTTGCTCATTTCTCGAGCGAATTGTTGTTGAAAGAGCAAATGATTATCCCTGTTAAAAACAACGCTGGTCATAGTAGCCGTACACCACGTGTCAAAGTTAAAGCTCGCCATAATTATTCGCACAGACAGACAAGAAAAGCTTACAATCGTGTTCAACGCATTAGCTGGCTAAAATCGCATAAATGATTCACACGTGGCAGCAACTTACATATATACATGGGCTTGGCGCTGAACTTCCGTCACATGTATTTAATCCTGATAAACAGGTTTATCACTCACAAAATTGATTGATTTTAGCGAAATTTGCCAAAAAAATCCAGTGAAATCGGCTGTTTTTTACTGATTGTTTCTTGGCGAAGTTTCCCCCTGAAATTTCCCGTGAAATCGGTCGGTTTTTCTAAGAATTTGCCGCTGAAAATCCTTCAAAATTGGACTTTTTTCCGCTAAAATCCCGCGAAATCAGCCGATTTTCTGCGAATTTTGACTTTTCTCCCACGAAAATCTCGCGAAATCGGCTGATTTTTCCACAAATTTTGACTTTTTTCCCACGAAAATCCTGCGAAATCGGCCGATTTTTCCGCGAATTTGCCCCTTAAAATCTATTGAAATTTTGCTTTTTTTTCCGCGAAATATCAGAAGCCCTGTCTACGGAAGGTCACTAAAGGAAAAGGGAAGGAAAGAAGCATTCTAAAACTTAACAGCCAAACTTTTTAAACTGTAAGATACGATGATACACAATGTAAACTGTAATCTACAGTGGTTGGTGGGAGATTAAATCCAAATCCCTTTCAACTGGTTTGGAGGTAATGTTAGTATTAGGGAGAAATAACAAGTGTTCTCTTAATCCATGCCAGTTAACTTGCTGTGAGATTGGTCGTAAAATAACATTTGAAATACATGTTAGATTCAATATTTTGCAAAGAACTGAAATATAAAATTAATGATCTGATCTGAAAATAATAACAAGGTGGTTTTGTTCAAACAGTCACATCACAGGACTAAAAGTGAAATTTTCACAGGATTTTGTCTACAATGGTAAAGGTTTAAATGAAGATAAGATCGTTGCAGTGGTAACTGCAATTTAAGCAATTGCAAATTAACTTGAAAAAAATTTCAGGACTTTAACGGGATTCAAATTCATGGCCTCTGCAATTGCTTACATATTTGTAAACTGCAATTGTTGCAATTTACAATGTAAGCAATTGCAAATTGACTCAAAAAATAGTGCTAATGCAGAGGCCATGGGTTCAAATCCTGTTGAAGTCCTGAAAGTTTGAGCGGAGGGGTGGGGGGTTGATTTGCAATTGCTTAAATTGCAATTACCACTGTGACAATCTTCTCTTCACTTAAATTTGTATTTCCGGAGTTCACATTATCTTTATTCAATGTTAAAAGTGAAAGCTTCATTGCATGACTCCATAAGAACAATTTTGTCTCCGGGAGTGGCACAGCTGTTGAAATGTAGGCCATAAACATGTAACATGTCCCCTTTATTAAGCAGACCATAATGTATATTAAATTTGAAGTTCAAAGAGTTTGAAAGATTATATTGCTTTCATGGGAAAATCAAAGAAGCTTAGCAGGTGTTAAGCTCTAGTGAAGATGATACCCTTAGGGCTACATCTTCCCTAAGTTTACCTTCTGCAGTTCAGAACTTTCATTTTGCAGTGGGGAGAGTGAACTTTAAAAATTCTCACACTTAGTCCTGATTACAATAAAATACATGTAATCTTTGGAGTTGGTATGAATTTTGAATCTGTTAATCTACTGTACTTTGATATCATGTAACCTGGCTAATATCATACATGTAATGGACTGTATTAGCAAAGGAAGTTAGAACTTTTTCGTAATACAATTCATAATAGTACGTACTCTATTTTAAAATTGACAAAATTTGCATATTACTAGTATATCTAATAAAAACTAAATACTGTAAAATTCTGAAAATAAGCCCCTCCATGTGTAAGCCCCTCCAAATATAATCCCAATAAACCGGTAATGCAAGAAACCCTCCATTAAATCGCCCCTCCAAATATAAGCCCCCCAGGGTCTTGCACTTGGAAAATTGCCCTCAAATACAAAGTAAAACAAAGCAAAAACGGTAATTTATTTCCAAATATAAGGCTAGCCCAATCGATTTTGAAATGCAAATTTCCCTCCGTAGATAAGCCCCTCCGAGTATAAGCCCCTCCAAAAATAAGCCTCTAAAAAAGGGTCTTTGAAAAATATAAGCCCCGGGGCTTATTTTCGGAATTATTTTACAGTATCTTTCTCATCATCATTATCATTGGTCTCATTGTCATCACTTACTCGCACGTTTCTAGCAATATTTTCTGATTCTAATGTAGCATTGTTTTACCCTTGAAGCTACATTGTACTAAAAGCCAAGGTTTTGACAGATGATCAACCTACTGAAACAATATTGTGAGCCTGGTCATTCTCTGTCACATAGATCCTATCAATGAACAATATCTATTGCAAAGCAATTTTGAATTCCTCTTTCTGTGCCACGGCTTGAAGAACACCACAGTCCAAATCACTATAGAACGTCAATGAGGTGTGTTTTTTGGGGGTAAAGGTGACTTTTGAATATGAATTGAATGGGCCATAAAACTATACTATACAAACTATTAATACATACTACATGTTCTACAGCTACATATCAATTTTGATTTCATTAGTTCATTAAACATCAGTGTGAGGTCTTTTTAATTTTTTGTTACTTTACACACCACAAATGTGCTATAAAAGGTCAGTTCTACAGTGTAGAAGTTGCTAAGCAGCTGTAAATTTGGCTTTGAAGCTGTTCTTACTTTGCAAAACCTGCATGCATGTTCATGCACAGTTCTGCTCTGAAAAAAGGTAAAAAAAGCGACCATCTACAGTTCTTATGTTTGCGTTTAATTTACTCAAATCTGTTATCCAGAGCTATAATGATTTTGTTGCTATGGGCCGAATTCCCTACAATGTTATTTGGTTTATAAATGAAGTGAAAACAATAGCGCACTGTGTGAGCTTGCGCTTGCAGAGTTACTAATTAATGTATACAGTACTTATAAACCTTAACAAGTCATGCCTTCAGTTTAGAGCATTTAGCCCGATAGCATCATAGCATGCATCCATCTACAGTATTCACAAAATTTGGTCATTTGCAAAGACATACAACAATATGAACTGGGTCAAAAACGATTCAATAGAGCGCAGCTTTGACAAATTTTAATTTAAGCTTATAATCATAATACCAGAGGAGATTTGCCTGAGGAAATCCTCCGGCAAATCGAATTTCCAAAACAAAACGTTGAAACGATCACATTTGAAAATTCTTGTTAACAGATAAGACAAGATTTTGCTTGGACATATCGTGATAACCGAAAATCTTTCATGGAGTAATTTTATCGAAACCGTATTATCTGCGTCGGATTAAGCCTATATTGTTCATTTTACTCCAAATGATTGCATCGCTTGTCGTTTTGCTCACAGCGGCGAATTTTCAACGCGCGCGCCACTCCGAATAACATTACCCCTCGTATGAGCTGAAACGCAAAGTAAATATGTCCAGCTATACAAAAATTACTACGTCAAACTATATAAACTTGAATTGCCAAGCCAGCGCTAAACATCCGCTATTGAGTTGGCAAGACAAAGAGAGCTCTGATATTCAAAGAGACAATTCGCAATAACTTACTTGGACGATCTCTTGGGCCTCCAAACGACGGATTGGACATTATTACTGGACGTTGATTGTTTTAAGGTCGTCTTTCAGGTGCAGCCAACATGACTGAGCAGCGTCGAACTTCGCCAGAATACCAGAATCGCCAACGGATACGGAAAGCCATGCATATGAAAATACCAGACAAAAAGCTAAAACCGCGCGAAGTTTGCCTCAGAGTAACGAGACGAGCATAGCTCGAAAATGAGTCGTAACCTTCCAAGAAACGTCCACGAAGTGAGATCAGGAGAGACAATGCAAAATGAAGCTTAACGAGTGAAGATTACACAAAGCTCATCACGTTTATCTCACTCGTAATTGGAAGGAGATGCAAAATGAAGCGAGAGTCGCACTCCACCGCGCGTAACACAGCTGTCTGGCTTCTGATTGGTCCGAAAACAATTTCTATTGTTAATGAGTCGAACACCTGCCCCAGCCCTTTTTTTCCCGGTGTAGTTCTGTGAGGGTAAAATAGTAGACTTGGAGTTCAAAGGTGCACGGATTGGGGATTTGGGCGAAAGATTAGCAGTTGAACGAGGGAATCGATACACTGGAAGTAAGTTACATTTTCGTCCTTCTATATTCATTGCTATGATTGACTGCGGCTCAAACTAACAGCAGGGCCTTGACTAGGAAGAGGCAAGAGGAGGCACTTGACCCCTCTGGATTTGAAACCAAAATTTTAGAAACAGACACGTTTAGATGGGAAATATAATTCTCACTTTGAACAGAATTTATTATTTCTGAGAAAATACCTCATGGAAAACGCTGAAAAATCGACTGGGGGCATCATCATCATCTGTATTCACCCGGCAAACATCGGGTATTATCAATATAAAAATATTAATATTAATATTTGTCGATATTTGTGTAATAAAAAATAGCTGACCACTGAGGTCAAATTGGTAAAACTATTACAAGTGTAGCTTACAACGGTAGCTATAATAATTGCTTTAAGATACGTGATTTTTCGCTGTATTAATTTGGAGACGATGTTATTTTGCGTCTCGGATTGAAAGCGCTATTAATTAACAATTAGTTCATGCGTCAGCGTGCGTATGTCGAGATATTGAGCACGCGGGAAGTTTGGAGAGCACGAAAGAGGCGTAAGAGTTGCACGAGGCGCAGCCGAGTGCAACTCTAGCCTCTTGAGTGCTCTCCAAACTTCCCAAGTGCTCAATATCTCGACATACGCACAGCTGCAGCATGAACTAATTGTTTTATAACATTATCAAAGCGATCAATGCAGCAGTTAACTGAAAATTTTATTATTGAAGGGCGCGCTCAAAGCAGTACGCGTCAATGTTTACGTGAATATATCTTTTTTCCTCACAGTTAATCTTATGTTTTTATCCTGAAACTGAGAGAAAGTGTACTCTAAAATGATTGTAAAATCCATATTTAGGTGCCGGAAAACTATTAATTTACCGAAAAATTGTTATTGAGAGAAAACAACTTTGCAAAGAATGAGCTCACGCCATAGCCCGCACAGCTCGCGGAGATGACAACAACAACAACAACACTCACCTCTTTTCCTTACTATCGGTTAACAAATTCAAACGTTTCCTCTTAAATTTCTTTACAAAACACATGGTAAACGCTTCATTGTCTATTGCTGAGTTATGGATTCACTCAGGAGACTCAGGATTGCTAAGCTCACAACAACTCGAGGAATTACGAATAGTTTATTGACGTCATCAGCGTGCTCAATAGGAATATGAAGCACGCTCGCGCTATTGAATTTGATTAGGCGAATTTTCTAGCTATGTTATAAAAGTTTATGAAAATTTTACGTTATTCCGATCATTCTCAATAGCGATTATTCAATATACAACACAGATATACGCTGACCTAGTTTATTACTCTGTAAACTCAGTTTGGAGAGCCCAAGGAAACAACTCAAATATGGCCAAATGAAAATAGGCCTCCTCTACACTGGTCGAGTGATACCACGAACAAAAAAGGGAATGTCACATTCCGTTTTTAGTTCGTGGTATCACTCGGCCAGTGCAGAATGCGAGAATGAGAGCTTACCAAAAACCATGTCAACCCAACGTGCTCTGACGTAGAGAAGTTCTGGATCCGACTGCTGACTACGGCTAGATCGACTAGCTCTCTGTAATGATTTCTTCAGCATGCAGCTGGCCAAACATTCGATGAAAGTTACACTGAACTTCATTGTGAAACCGCCGATAAAGACAATAAAAGATGTTGGAAGAATCTCTTCACAGACAACTACTGAAAATTGTTTCTCTGGCCTTTTTGGTATTCAATCCTTAGAATACCATAGAATTTTCCGATCATTAGTCTTGTTATTTAGGTCTATAAAAAAAGATTCCCCCAGAAAGCTTTTATCTACGATAGGGTGAGTGCCACAACTGTGATTTGCTGGCCGGGGTCTGCCTTCAAGGTGCAACCACAAAACATCCAGTCAACATCATGGCTGCAGCATGCATGTAAGCATAGTCACAATGACAATCGGAGTACCCATAGACAACCTTACCTACAAGTAAGTTTCTTTCACCTTACTCATGAAAACTGAACAGACTGAAATAAACTCCCATTGTTCTCATGAACAACTTTTTCAGGTAAGTGATCTATGACTGGGTCTTTATGAAATTAAGTTAAGAGTACTTTACGCGGAGTTCCCAAGGTATGAAGATCCCAGAGGGTTTGAAAAAAGAGCATTGAACAAGAAGAAAATTTCTTTATTCGCAGTTTAAATTCTATCCACAACTAAACAACTACATTCTAATGTTGGTCCCTTGACAGTAATGTCTCCTTTAGTTGCAGTAGCATGCTGGACTCGTTTTCCTTTCATCGTGTTTCTGTTAACTTCTTACCAAAGAAATTCAGCCTATGGGGGAAAAACAATACATTCCCGAATGTAAAACCAAATCGTTAATGTTCATACTACAACAATAAGTCGCTGTTTGTACCTTGCTTGCCAAATTCAAGTGCTTAAGAGCTTTTGGCCCCAAGTCAACCCAATGAAAGCTCTGGTGTTAGTGCAGTAATCTATAGTGAACAACAGGCCCCGGATGTTGGATAACGTTATCCACTGGATAAATAAAAGGGAAAGGGAAAAGGGAAATTGCGTCATCCGCTGGATAAGCGCTATCCACATTTTGAACAACTGGAGCCTGTTGTACTTATACCGTTAATTAGATTCTAAAATTTGTTTTTCCACCTACTGGACAATTGTTTACCCGGCGCGACCGGCGCACGGCGTTAAGCTACTCAAACTCGGTGTAAATATTGAACTGTTCAGCATCTTTCGTTCACCATTTATTAATATAGTCTGGATTTCATGGCTGGTGATTTGCCCTTGCACTCTGTTCAAAGCTACCAGTACTAAATGTATTTTGGGCTAGCTTTTTAACTACTATTTGAAGGGACTTTATAGCCGAGTACTATGAGTAAGAAAATTTTGTTATCTATGCACCCGTCACCCAAGAAATAATCGTCCGTCAGGAGCTCATCCTGTCGTCCGTACGTTCGTCCAACCTTTCATGTTAACGGATGTGAAATGGCACACTTTAATACTAGCTAGGAATCCAAGTCGTACTATATGTGTGTGTTTAACTTCGTATCGGACATCCATGTTATGGTCAATTGCCAGCTGTCAAAAACGGGTATCCGCTGACCAGTGTCGCATGACTGTATCGCGGGCTTAGGACTACAACTCATGGAGGTGGTATATTTTTAAAGATTTCGGCTGACCTGTTTTTGGTTTTCAATTGATTGCGGGCTTAGGTCGATTTTTCAAAGGTGGAATTCAGTTTGCTTTCTGCTTACGGCAAAAGCTGAATTACTTGAGACAGACATTTCTTAAAACATCCCTCGAGAGCTTCGCTTTCGACCTTGGCTAAATCTATACTGCTATTTCGAAAAAGGTTGTCGGAAAAAGTGCACGCGACAATCCCGAAAGGTATTGTGGGTGGTTTTGAGTTCACGAGAGGCCTTGGAAGTATGTTTGTGAGTGCTAAAGGAAAGCAACAAAAGTAGGTTCGACAGCTCAGTAGGTAAGGAACAGTGTATTGACCATATCACATATTACCTTTCGGGATTGTCGCGTGCACACATTTTTCCGACAACCTTTCTCGAAATAGCTTTATATTATAATAACTGTTTGAAACATCTACTAATCGCTAAACACCAACCTCGTCCCCAGGGCTTTTCCCTTAAAAAATGGGTGGGGCGACACAACCTCGTCCCCAAAGTCGAACAAGCAACAATGGAAAATAATAACATCGCGAACTGTACGTCAATATTACAATACAATACAATACAATACAATGTTCTTTATTTTGAGAGTGTAGATATACATGATTAACCCAGTTAAGAGTTTTCTAACACATGGCCCTCTAATACTGAAAGAAATATATACAAATAAATTTCAAAAATACACACATACAATAATTAATTGAATGTAACATTTAAAATGAAATTAAAATTAACACAATATAAAAGTTTAATTAACATAGTTA